TGAGCTGGAGAGTAGAGAGAGAAGCGTACGGGTAAGTAAGCGTGCAGAAAGTGAAAGTCAAGGTACCGTGACCAACGAGGTAATGTTGGTCCGGTAAAACAACAAGGTCCGGAAGATGGAAAAGTTACATGAGAGGAAAGGGTTGACACTGTCACCACAGACCCCGTTGGGGCACTTTCTTCACTTCAGTTTATCTCTGGGGTGTTGAAATCCCCGCGAATCAGTTGTTTCCCGTTGTGCCGAGCGTCCGTTCGCAGCGTGGGTAGCAGCGCGTCATCCTCGTTGGCCGTGGATGATGGGCTTCTGTGAACGCAAATTTCCAGCAGTCTGTTGGGCCCGATGCTCACGGCACAGCCAGAAACCTGGACGTTTGACGTTGACATCGTGAATACCCACCACCTCTGACTTTGGTTTAGGTTCTGTGTCACTAGTATGAGGGTCCTCCCACCTATTCTGCCGTCAATCCTATCGGTGCGATTATCGCAGAGGGCTGGTGGGCAGTGGTGCATGATGTCTCTTCCTGGCCGGAGACAGGTTTCCGTGATAGCCACAACGTCACATTTCCGTCTCCAATCTCTGCTTGGACCATTTGTTTTCCATGCTACACGCGTTTATTTGTGTTATGTGCAATGAGACTCCTCCCCTAGTGTTTGGCATTCCACTAAGGGAGGGTGGCTCCTCGGGATTCACTCCCGGTCTTGGGCCCGTTTTTGGGTCTGTTTTCCTGGACTGTAGCCTTTTTGTTCGTCCCCCCAAATGAGTCAGGATTTCTACCGTTTTTGTCTGTCGGATCCCTTTTCCTTGTGTGATCTCAGCAAAATCTCCCTGTATGGCGGTTTTGTTTCGTTAGAGCTTACTTTTTCCCGGGCCCTTATTTGGAGTTCGAGGGCCCCTGTTCTCACCGGACTGTTTGGGCAGAACTACCCTTGCTCGATGCGCTTGTGCCCCCCACGCGATGGTTTCTGCTTTCAATCTCCTACCAGGCTGATCATCGGGAGTCACTCTAACATTGCCACCGGTGGATGTCCGGATGTTTTTTTGACTTCTGCTAAAAGCCTGTCCCTATGCCTGGGGTTCCCGATTTCCAGTATCAGGGGTCTAGACTGTTGCTGCCTGTCGTTTTATGGTCCCTCCATGGCTCAAGTCTGAGTACTCTCTTAAGTTGTACATGTTCGGGGATTGCTACCACTCTTATCAACGTGGCCAAATAATCCTGCATATACCGGTCCCTCAGTCTACCTTGCCAAATGAAAGGCTCTGTGACAGTGTTGCGATGTTTATCACATTATTATATCGCGCTTATCACTATTAGCTTCGACATAATTACTGTATAAATTATTTACTTACGGGAACCATAAAGCTTCTCGGGAAATGATTGAATGAAATCTCTCCTTTTTTAAAATACGGTCGTATATAATCGTCCGCTCTTACAATGTCGCATCCCTGCTGTGAGTTAAGAAAGTGAAATATTCATTCACTCTGTTTGCCTACTGATTCATCATTTCAGTAGTGTGACTATTCAACCCACATCATTTTCTTCACGTGGTTTATCATTCTGGTGATTTGGCACATTCCATCCACCAGAAGATTGTGACACTGATTGATCATTTTACATCTGAACACTTCCTTTATTTCCTACTTCGTATTAAATGTAATTGTCGATCCGCATTAGGACACTGCCACTGGATTATACAAACACCTTCCAACGCGCACATTTCGACGACACTAAAGATCAACATGAACAGATCGCACCATACGCTTACGTCTTTAAATCTCTCGCTTGCGAAAATTGGTTGACAATGGATAAGGCGTTATAGAACCGTATCTCACGATTTTTGGTTGTTGATTCTGCAACCTGTATCCGTTGGGACGAAAAGTGAACCAAGTAACGAATCGGACATTAAAAGGCGACTCGCAGGTAAGCCGACAAGAACTCCTTAGAGCATATTTGAAGGGAGTCAGTCAAGGACAACTGATTATTCACTACACACACTACTAATTCAGATTGAATATTTCAAAACAATTGCTATACCGTTAGGTGATGATGTGGGGTATCAGATGCGCGCTAACAGGATGCACATATGCAACCTCTCTGGAATTCGCGTTCAATATTCTAATGACAAGCAAAAGGGTATTGAGTAACGGCTTTCATGTAAGCATCTTCATAGACAGTTTTAACATATGTTTTCGTCTTTTATCGATGAGAACGTTCATCTTCGGCTAGGTAAGTGTCAATAGTTGTAGTGGACAGTCAGAGTGCCCTACAGACCTGAGGAACATAGATATGAGGCTGGGTTTCACCCATTCAGGCATGTTTATTCATATTATGTCCATTTGTTCACACACACACACACACACACAGAGAGAGAAAGCGGTGAATCCGCAAGAGAGATGAACAACTGATGTTAGGATATGAAATTCGGGAACAGAACGAGACAAAAAAGGATGGCGGTGGGGCAGTTGGTGAACCGCAGAAAGAAAGACAAAGTCATCACAACACCGACCAAAACGTGTCTGGACAACTGAGGAGTGACCCACCACTGACTGTAATGGTACCGTTCACAAATGGCCATACGATGGCTCGAGTGCATTTCGGCGAAAGACAGGGACTGGGAGGTGCCGGAGAGACGAGTGGGCAGGCGGAATTCAGACAGGGAAAACTGAGAGCAAACGAGGAGACACCACGCACTCACACCCAAACAAGCAAACATCACGGGATAAAATTGATAAAAATAAACCCGAGTAGTGAATGGATTGTGTACACCGACGTCAAGTCTCAAATCAATGGTTGAGAGACAAAGTGACGAGTCGGAGGATCGGTAATTCAGACGGGATGAGAGCAATGAGAGTACATTCCATTGATGAAGTCAATGTATGTTTACATACATGTGTCCGCGTGTAGAAACGAGAACCTCAGCGCACAATGATACATTGAACAATTTACAAAAAAAGCTGATCGAACGAGCTATCGGTCGATTGAACAGATAGTGATGGAATGAAAATCAACACCTGCCATCATTTGAATTGTATGCCGGATTTGATAGAGACCATAAAAAGCAGATTGAAAGGCGTCGGACGAAAGGCAAAAGTGTATG